GCTAGAATTAAGCTTCTCTCATGTGTAGCAAAATTAAGCTTCTACTTAATTGGTATCGTCATTATGAATGTCTTCAGTAAAAACTCTTTGAACCTCTTTAGTTGATACTAAGAATGAAGACAAGAAAATTGAAGAGATTAATGCTTTGTGGGCCTCGTAAGTATAAAAATAAATAGAATTTGGTCAAAATTGAGGGGAAGGCATTGGATGATTTATTTTTTTTTATAGTAGAGGTTATCCAATACTCTTCAAAAAATAATTTGTGGCTACATTTGCACCTTTACCATGCTGACGTGTTGTGCCTGTGTTATGTCATGTGTCATTATGAGCCCCACATAACATCCGTCAGTTAAAGTTAACAGTAGGCTACTAGATATTTTATTTTTTAAATTTCTTGATTTATTTTGCACTATCTAATAGTTTAGACTACCAGATGCTTCTCGAAAAATAATATATGGCTAAATTTGTTACTTTACCCAAAAAGGTATTCAAATATAAATTATGTTCTATTTAATGACTTTTTTTAATTTTAATTTATTAATATTAATTATAAATTTTTTAATTCAAACACACGCAATGTGCACTTGAAAGATCACATGTGAGGGACATGATAATGATTGAACTTGTAAAAAAAAGTTTAATTATGAATTAAATTACTGATAAATGTAATTAATGACGGACTAAATTAGTGACATATTCATTTTTGTCACAAAATGAATGACTCCATATTTCTGAGGTTGAAAGAATGGAGGTTTGGGAAAGCATCTTACCGTTGGTTCTATCAGGTTTTTATTCGATCCTGGATTAGTCCACTAATCCATCTTTCATGTTGTTCAGTCTGTGGGATTGAGAAATTAGTCCACTAATTTCTGGATTTTGCTGTAATCCTTTACTTTATGTTTTTAAATGAGCAAAAACATAATGATTAATCTTTATAGTTTCAACAAAATTGGGTGGCGTTGTTATTCAAATCTTTATAATTTCAGTTTTTAAATCTTTATAAGAACTTAAAATATTAAAAAAATTACAAAAACTAAAAACAAAATCTGAAAAATTATAGAACCAATAATTATATTTTCTCTTTAATATAAGTTGATCTTCGTTTAAAAAAATTTATTATTCTTTTGGCTTGAGCCTTTTTCTTTGTATATTTTAAAAGATAATACTCACATCAAACTTTACAAATGTAATTCCTTTGTTATCTAAGCCAATTAGTGAATGAGATTTTTTTTGACCATCAAGTAATGAATGAGGTTAGGAGCATACATTATTTTGTGTTAAAAAAATGGTCTTTCTTATCCCTCAAAGAAATATTCCTCTATTAAAAAATATAAAATATTTTTAATTTTTTAAAGTATAAACATTATTTATTTTTTTAAAAGTGCTCCTATTAAAGAGATTACTTTATATTTTTTTAGGGTAAAATACCTTATTAAATAGAAATAAATATGAAAAGATAATATTACTTTAAAAATAAATAATTACTTTATAAAAGTGCTTTATATTTAAATGAAGGATGTATGAGATATATCATTTAAATATCATATTAATTAAATTAAATTAAAATGTACATAAAAGTTTGTAATGTTGATTATATTTGGGAATAAAGGCTTTCCCCATTTTCGACCAAAAAAAAAGGGTTCCCCCATTTTTTTGCTTAAATTAGGTAACAAAGGAGGTCTATAAATATTATATATAAATCATTTCTAACTACTATTTTATTATAATAAAGGAGAATGAATTAAATTATTATGATAAAAACAGATACTAAACTTGATCTTAGCCAAAAAAATCAACAAAAGGTATTTGAATTAAATTATTGACACTGTTTAAACGAATTATTTTTAAAAATGATTTCTCCCTTATATGCAATATTTTACTCTACTGATCGCAAACTGTGAAAAGGATAAAATTACAAGAAAATATAATGATAGTACATTCTTTTCAATACAAAGTGACTTATAAAAAAATCATTAACTCTTTGTAGAGAATGACTTAGATCCGATGAAGCATTCCCTCTAACTACTATTATAAGATATCTTCCAAAAGAATTTTTTGGCCTTTAATACAAGGCACACAGAAGGCTATTTATTATCAATTTTCAATTTCACCCATGTTTGTATAGTTCAAAATTTTATTTTAAAACATACTTAATGAATTGACTAATATTTCTTAATTCTACTGAAGTACTTGAAAGTGAATTATAATAAAAATGGGAAGGCATGCATGTAGATCGATAGATAGTGAAATGACGAACGAACAGTGATGCTGCAAATGCAAATTGAGGTATACTACCCTCTGATCCCTATAATAAGATATTTTTTAAAAGCATTTTTTATTCTTAATACGAAGCACATTATGGATTATTAATTACGTTTTTCCAATATCATATTAATTTAAACTCATTAATTATGAGAAAGAATATGATATAAATTTGAAAAATTTTCATTTATGTGTAGGTAAAATTAAAAGTTTATTATATTTCAAATAAAATTAATAACTTAATTAACTATTTGTCTTTAATTCTAGCAAGGTAAACGAAAGTACAGATAAATTGGCCCACTAGTTGAACAAAATCTTATGTCCAAAAATATGGATGAGATTTTAAAAAATTTATGAGTATGGCGATACACATTGATATACAAAATTTTTTTATCATTGATATATATGAGATTTATCATTAAAAATTTAAAAACTTACAAAAGAGTTTATTAATAATATACAAATATATATCATTAACAAATATAATAAATTAATAATAATATAAAATATAATAAATATTATATTATTTATTTGATTTGATCCTATAATATAATATGAGTTATATTTAAAAAAGCTTCATGAAAGTACCTTACAAACGGGAGGGAGTAATTGGTAAGCTCGCAAGGGAGTTTTGCCACTATGATTGAGAGCAATAGGGAATAAATTTTGGGAAAATGATTTAAAAAGGAAAGGAGAGAGGGACCCGAACCTCAACCTCTACAGTCAAATGCATAAACTGATGAATCATTGAATGAGTAAGAATTACTCCTCTCATCTTATTATTACAAAGTAATGTGAAAATATTAGTTTTGATTCTATTTATAAAATATCTCCTTAATTATTATTATTATTTTTATTATTTTTCCCCTATTAATTGTAAAAATGTTTATTAAATATTAAAGTATTTTATGTTTAAAAAGGTATTTTTAATAGGGATAAATTTAAAAATTTATTGAATTTTAAAATACAGTTAATAAAATTTAATTTTTTAATTTTAATAAAAATATTAAAAATAATTTATAAATAAGATGAAAGAAATAAGAACTAAGCGAAGAAGAGAGAGAAGCGAGTACCTAAAATTCGTTCCAGTCTTGGCTTGCACGTTCCCGTTGTCCAGTCCACACCGCGTCCGGCCTCGACACTGATTATATTATTTTTGATGAGATTTCGATCTTCAAAATTCAAAATTTATATTTTTATTAAAGTAAAATATTTTAATAAACCTGTTTTGCCGTTAATTCGGATAGTCCATATTCAATTTAAATAATTAAAATTTAATATTATTTTTTTATAATTTTTATAAATTAATTATCCTAATTTATTTAAACGATTTAAATTTAAAATGTTTAACTTATAAATTTTTAATTTTTTTTAAAATGTCATTTAAAATATTATTTTTATTTTTAATATAATATTTATTATTTATCAAAATATAAATTTATAAAAATTATTAAAAATTTTAATATTAAATTTAAACTGTCTATAATATACTAGAATAGTTAATTCATAAAAATTATAAAATTTAATATTAAATTCTTCCATCTAAATAAAATATGTAAGGTTTAAATTATTAATACACAAATTTATTAACTTAAAATATTAAAAAAAGTGTATGAATTTATAATAAAATTTGAATAAATTGTAAAAACGTAAAATTACATTTTTTTTAAATTTTAATAATTTTATGTAAATTTTTATTAAATAAATATAAACCAGCCAGATTTATCAATCGGAGTATATTGCTCGGACGATCGACGATGCAAGCCGCGTCCAGTCACACAGTCCCCCTAATGTAGTCAACATGTGGCTTGTGGGTCCCACCGCCTCTGTCTCTCTCTGTTTGCTGAAACCGTCCGACACCCACACCCACAATACCAACTTGCCTACGTACTCCCCTCCCTCTCTCGATAATGTCTTCACGCGTATTCATTACTCTCTCTTCTAGTTCCAACCATCTCCCTTTCATTAATTACCTCTTCTTAATATTTTTTTTTGAAAATAAATCCAATCCAAGAAAATATTAATTCAAAGTTTGTTTACGTATATAATTAGATCCAACCATATTCAAAGCTGTATGCTTTTAATTTTCATAACAAAATATTGCATTGAATTTCTTAGAAGACTTTCTTTTATGGCATCGTGGAAGAACCTTGGGTGAGCCATTCCAAAGTCGAATTTGCCTTTTAATGACTCCCTCAAGTGAAAAATATAAAATATTTTTTAATTTGATGTTAAAATATATAAAATATTTTTAATTTTTTTATCATATAATTAACAAGATTTTGTTTTAAAAATGCTTCGAATAAATAAATCACTCAATCAGTTCTTCAGCTTTAGGTAATAGCATACTTTATTAAATAAAAATAAATATGAAAAGATAATATTATTTTAAAAAATAATTAACTAATTTCTTAGGATATAATTCAATTAAAAATAACTTATATTCTTTCGGGTTCAAAATATAAGCATTTTTATAACAATAATTAACATACCAATAAAATTTTTATTTTTATAAAAATATATATTATTTTCTTTTTATTCTCAATTCTAATTTATGATGAGCAAAAAAAATTTCATAAATTTACAGACACAAAAATTTATGTTGATAAATACAATGAGTAGAATGGAAAAAATTCCTACAAGTATTAAATTATTTATATTTTAAATTAAAATTAATTGAAAACAATGCTTTGTATTTTGAACGGGATAGGATATCTTTGAACGGAGGAAGTTATTTCCCCCATCTATCTATCCCTCACCATATATTCTTAGTCCTCGAAACCCATTATTCTCACTACCCGACACAACAACACAAAACAATGTCCCCAGCCCCAATGTCCCGTCTCAGTACTCTTCTCTTCTTCCTCTTCCTTCCGTTATTCCTCCTCGCTCAACCTCCTCCTCCACCTCCATCTCCTTCTTCTTCTCCTTCTCCTTCTGCTCTCTGCAAGTTCACACTGTACCCCAAACTCTGTCGTTCCATGCTCTCCATCATCTCCTCCTCTCCCTCCGATCCCTACAACGCCGGCAAATTCTCCATCAAACAGAGCCTCAAGCAAGCCAAGAAGCTCCTCAAGGTCTTCGACGACTTCCTTGTCAGCAGCCGCCGCCGCCGCTCCGACTCTGTCGAAGTTCGCGCCCTCGACGACTGCCGGGACCTCATCCTCCTCAACCTCGACTACCTGGAGGCCGTCGCGGCCGACCTCCACGCGAACTCGGCGGTCTCCGCCGAGCTGACGGATAAGGTGGAGAGCTACCTGAGCGCGGTGGCGACGAACCATTACACTTGCTACGACGGGCTGGTGGCGGCGAAAAGTAAAATCGGGGAGGTTCTGGCGGTGGCGATGAGGAATGTGACGGAGGTGTATAGTGTGTCGCTTGGGTTAGTGAGTGAGGCTTTGAATGAGAATGTGAAGAACAAGTTCCAGACTCGCAAGCATGGACTTCCTTCTCAGTCTTACAAAGTCAGGGAGCCTCTCGAGAAGCTCATCAAGGTACGTAATTTGCCCTCTCTCTCTCCCCCCCGGCCCCCGGCTTTATCCAGCTCGTTGTTGTTGTTGTTGATGTTGTTGTTTTAATATCCAGCATATTATATTATTTGGAGAAAATTACCTATGATATGAGATGTTAGAGTAATTTTATTGATAGATAATATGAAAATTTTTCTGTAAATATTATTTAAATTTGGAGATATATCCTGATTTTAATGAACTCAAGACTCAATTTATATAAATTTCTTATATAAAAAAGATCAACTGATTTCATGACTTTTTTTTTATTTAGATTGTTTTGTGTGTATTTGTAAGTATTTATTAGTAATTCGAAGTTGAGAATGGAATCTTAATGTAACATAGCTCAGGATTTAATCCTCCGAAATTGAAAATCAATGAATTTCATTTAGTTTGCTTTTTAAAAAAAATATAAAAAATGTGTGTTTTATAAAATATAATAAAATCATAGAAAATATAAGAAAAAGAAAAACTTTGTATAAATTTATGAATCTCAACTGAAAAAAGATTTAAATTCCAAGTGTGAGTATCGAAGTCATGCTACTCTTTAAAATTGATACGTACAACCTGCAGACAATACTAAAAACAATACATAATAAAGTTCACTTATAACAATGGGATTTACTTATGTATCGATCTTTCTCTAATTTTTATTGGAGGCGGATCCAAATTATTTTATGGGTTATTGTTATTGTGAAAATTATAACAATAAGTAGTATTGTTATATCATCATTTGTTTTTTGGGTGAAAATTGTCATCATCATGATCATCATCATCATCAGAGAGGGTTCGTGTTCTGGAGTCTCGTGGAAAGTTACTTTTGTAATATCTGGTGTCCCGCTTGAAGAGTGAATTGTACAAAGGCCATCATTGGACTTCTCACTAGACAAATTTAAATACGGTGTCGTTGGGCTATCAGAAAAAAAAAAAATATATATATATATATATGACATATTAATATTAATATTTATATTATTAGCATATTTGGAAGTACTTAATTTTTATTTAAAATATAAGATATTTTATAATGATTAATTTTTTTAATTTTATTTTTTATTAATATAAAATATTTAATATAATTATATCATTAAAAAAACTATTTTTTCATGAGATTAAGAAAAAAATAATTTTTTTAAGAAACGTGAAATAAAAATGAAAAGAGTATTAAATTTGTCGTATCTGTATGTTCTCTATCTAAAGTGATCTCAAAGTCAAAGCACGAGGGCAAAAAGCCAAAAGGAAACATTCTGTGGCTCAGGCATTACCCACTTCACTTTTGATCACCGACGTACTTTGATTTGAGATTATATTTAGTAAATTAATTTTTTAATAATTAATTATTTTCCTCGAAAATAAAAGCTGGCCAGCACTTGTTGGTTTCAAATTGAATAGATTAGGTGTAACTTTAAATTGTACTCTTCCTAAGTTAATGATAATGCTGATCTGACTAGATTCAGCGGAAGACCTCCTAGATCAATAAATGCCTATGTAAATCAATGAACTACTGTAAGTGACAATTATTTGTAGTAGTTGAGAAATGAGAACTATAAATTTAAATTACATATTATAAAAAAATTTAAAATCATTCTAAACCTTCAATTTCATAAATAATTTTAAAACAGTAATGATCTTCTACACAAATTAGATGGTAGGTTATTATAAATTTTATACTAAAATGCAGAAGACTTCCTTAACTTTGAAGCTTGAATATAATCTCATCACCTTTAAACATTTAAAATTAATTAAAATTAACTCTCTTAAATTATAGTTCATCTGTCTCTAATTTTAAAACACTTTTAAAAAAGATTTAGCATCTCAAAATAATTTTTTTTATAAAAATAAAGTTTTATTAGTAATACTTTTTTAATATTATTCTTCTCATACATTTTTTTCTTTAATATTTTTTTATCAATAAGAATTAAATAAAAAATATTTTTAAAATTTTATATTTTTATATTGAAAGAGTAAAGTTGTAAAGTATATTTAATGAGATTTATTGATATGTGAGATTTTGTCTAAATGACTTTTAATTTGAGACGGAGGCAGTAATTTTGTTTTTTAAAGTCTCCTACTATTAATTAATTTATTATGTTATTAATAGAGTTAGTCATATCATATTAATAAAATACACATGACACTTGATATAAAAAATATTTTTATTAATTTTTTAACACATTAAGAAGGAAAAATTGTATGAGTGATATTATTTTCATTATACATTGTTAGTACAATTTAAGAGAAAATTTATAATTTTATTATTTTTATCAACTAAAAACAACCTTTTGGCAAGATAAATGACATTTTAATTCTTATAAAAATAAATAATTTTGATATAGTTATTATGATGTCACACAGAGTTTTTATGTGACTTTTTTTAATTTGACATGATAAAATTTATTAATAATACAATATAGTAATTAACGTTAAGAGAGTTTTAAAAAATAAAATTAAATATTAAGGGGTTTAATTTTAAAGATATAAAAATAAATGAGATATATGTAACTATTGCAAAGTTTAGAAGTTTTATGAATTAACTAAATTTTATAGTGATGTTAAGGAAATGATTTTAATTTTTCATAAAAATAATTTTAACCTTCTATTTTATATATAATATTTTTTTACTAAAAAATATTGGGCATGTCAATTGCAGTATGGTTGCGGGTCAAGCTCGCAAACCAGCTGTCATTTATTTAATAATTAATCTGCACTATGTAGTAACTTCTACGTCTGTCATCTTGGTCATATCACGAGTCACGTGGACACGTGTCAATCTCACATGACCAGCTGCATGCTTTTACTGTTTTGGGAAGCTGACGCACTGTTTTTACTTTCTGTATCAGTAGCATCACTAAACAGTTGAACAAATCAGATTTTGGCTTTAGCCTTGCACGAGCTTGATGATACCCCAGCTTAGTGAAGCCGTACTTTATTCAATCACTATTTTTCAAAAAAATTATAATTTAAGTATTGTTTTTGTTTTTTTATAATATTGCTCTTGGAATAAATTTTATACATTATATAATTCTTCCATTCCCAAAAAATTGTTGTTTTAGAGAGACAGAAATATATAAATTCTATTTGAGTTTTATTTTGAATCTATAATAAATCTCTTACAATTTTATAGACATTATGGCCAAAAAAATTTGTACACACATACATACATGTGTGTTTATATGGACATATATATATTTTTCTTTTAAAGGGGCAATTTTATACACACACACACACACCTTTGCATGTATGTGTAATAAAACTTGTAATGACTAATTGTAATTGAATCTACCAAATAATTAAAAACATATTACTTTCTTAATAGCCAATCATGGATAAGACAGCAATCTTAAGCACTGTTGTCTTCTTCTTTTTTTTTTTTTGCCAGAAGCACTGTTGTAATTATGGAAGTTGTGTGTTCTCCCTTTTTAGGTAATAAAATCAGTTTCCAAAAATCACATTAGTCACGTCAGATCACATAAAGTGCGAAGCTTCCTTCGTCTCAATTTTCTCTACACACAATACTTGAATTCGAGACTTTATTTAAAGGAAACGTATGTTAAACCAATCAGTTTTCAAAAGCTATAATGGATTCTAATTAATCTAGATCGAGTCTAGTTCTGGTCAGACCACATGTGTGTAAAGCTATTTCTATGACAATCTTTTTATACACAAGACTTGAATTGAGATTCTATTAAATGGAATTAGAAAATGAAGGGCTAATATTTGCTGCAGGTTCTGCATGAAAAATACAGTTGCAAGGCAAGATCAAACTGCACAAGCAGAAGTGAAAGGATTCCTATGAGAGAAAGTGAAAGCAAAGGGATTCTATTAAATGGGTATGCAACTGTGAGCCATTATGGGACTGATAACTTCACCTCCATTGGACAAGCCATTGATGCTGCACCTGCTGACCTCAAACCAGAAGATGGCTACTTCCTTATCTATGTCAGACAAGGATACTATGAAGAATATGTAATTGTTCCAAAACACAAGAAGAATATCTTGCTCATTGGTGATGGTATCAACCAGACTATTATCACAGGCAATCACAGTGTCATTGATAGTTGGACCACCTTCAATTCTTCCACCTTTGGTAAGAGTTGTGTGTGTGTGTGTAGCATAATCAGTTTCTCACGAGAATCATATTCTTGGCATATGAGTTTGTTTTAAGAGTAAATCACGAAACTTTCCTGAGTTTTACTGAAAGTTATATGAATATCCTATATATCTTTAATATTTACATCCATGTCATCTTGATGTGCATTATTTTTTCTTTATTTTTAAGGGAGGTTCTTATAGATGCATATAATAGATTTTTCCTTTTTTTTTTTTTTTTTTTTTGGGGGGGGGTGTGTAATTAAAAAAAAAAATTAAGGGAGGTTTGTACTGGTTTTAAAAATAGATGAGACGTTTGTGAAATTTTAATAAAATTCAGGAGTAGTTATAATGTATGGTTTAATTTTTGTTACAAACTTATAATGTATACTAAACACTACTCTTGAACTTCCATTCATTGATAGAAGCTTGAACTGCAATAAGTATGCCCAAGTATTTCAAATGCATAGTTATTCACTGCCCATCCATAATTTCTTGAAACTTGGTTGTATTTTTCATGAACATAAGCTCCATTTTTCTGAATCTAAATCCATATACTGTGGATATTTCAGCTGTTTCTGGAGAAAGATTTATAGCAGTGGATATCACATTCAGGAACACAGCTGGTCCAGAGAAGCACCAGGCAGTAGCAGTGAGGAACAACGCTGATCTCTCAACCTTTTATCGATGCAGCTTTGAGGGATACCAAGACACCCTCTATGCTCACTCTCTGAGGCAATTCTACAGAGAATGTGAAATTTATGGCACAGTGGACTTCATATTTGGCAATGCAGCTGTTGTGTTCCAAGGCTGCAAGATCTATGCCAGAAAGCCACTTCCATTCCAGAAGAATGCCATCACAGCACAAGGCAGAACCGACCCTTTTCAGAACACTGGAATCTCAATCCAGAATTGTAGCATTGAAGCAGCACAGGATTTGTCTTCAGATTTGAACTCTACTACTGTCTTGACCTACTTGGGAAGGCCATGGAAGTTATATTCTAGAACTGTCTATATGGAGTCTTATATTGGGAATGTGATTGAACCTTCTGGTTGGTTAGAGTGGAATGGGACTGTAGGGTTGGACACGTTGTTTTTTGGTGAGTTCAATAACTATGGACCGAAGGCTAATACTAGCAATAGGGTTCAATGGCCTGGTTTTAATCTTCTGAATGCTACTCAGGCTTTGAACTTTACTGTCCTGAATTTTACTCTGGGAGATACTTGGCTTCCTGACACAGATATACCTTATTCAGGAGGATTACTAGATCATTAGGAAGTGAAATTTTGCTGGAAAGTAATAAATTTGATTTATTGTTACTCAGAAAGTTAGCGTAAGTGTAACTACTTGTTTTCAAAAAGGATATGGGAGACATGAATATTGTAATGTAATTCAAAAACAATGTATTTGCAGATGAAGTTTACCATATATTTACCAATTTTCAGTATTGTGTGCATACTGCAAATATAGCCTAATGCTACATGAAGCCCTGGTAGTTCAAAATGATGTGACATGTGTCAGTACATCTAAAAAGTTGAAAATTTCAAATCGTACATTCTCCTGTAATTTTCGGGAAAAAAAATGAAAATTTTAATTGTTCACTCTACATGCATGACTGAAATTAACATAAAATTTCTGGCTTCCAGTATGCAGTGTCCCATGATAAAGCTGATCAAGCTGCATGATGATACTAACAGTAGAATTCAATGGCTTGCTTAGTTATTTAAAATCTTTTGTTTGTTACACAGGCTTGGAACTTTAGCAACCCAAATTTTACATTCACTGCCATGCATATAGGCAAATACTACTCTGGAGGATTACTGTTAATTTAGAAGTGCAGTAACAGGGTGTAACTATTTAATGATTCATTTTAAAGGAAGAAATTCTTCAAAAAGGTATGAGGGAAATGAGTTTTCTGATTTAACTTACAGTATATCTGCAAATATAATGTGCTCAGCAATTGTTACTTAGTAGTATCACACCAAAGTCCAAATTGCAAAGGAGTTTCATTTAAAGTTCATCTTTCCAACTAACCCAAAAAAGAAAGTTTTGAATGAAGACTGTAGTTCAAAGACAAGATCATATCTGATTCTCAATGTAGCTTGATTGCCATTTTTATTGGACACTAGTAGAAACCAGAGACCTTCTGTTTATTACATTCATGGGTTTATAAATGAAGATTCAATATTAAGTCCTTCAATTTGGCTTCATTTTGCTTTATGAAACACTCATAAGTAATGTATCTAATAATTTCTCGAGAATGTTAATCCAAATATTGAATTAAATAAATCAATTCAGTGCTGTGAGGTTAACAATACAAAGGAAAACCATGAAGGCAAAGAAAAAACCGAAAAAAAACCAAAAAAACCAAGAAAATTATCATAAAAGAAGGTTTGCATTGTATTAATATGAAATAAACTTATCATAGATAAGACTTGTAGGGGGTGCTTGTCCCCGGAATCCATCGGTCTCCTTGAAGAAAAGTCTTGACAGTGAATCTATTTGCTTCTTTAGCAGTAATTGTTCTTAAACCCTTCCATGTGACTCTACCTTTAGTTGAAGCACCAGGTCCAAAATTCCGAAACTCAGCATAGAAAATGGTGTCTGGTGCTGAGTTTCCTACCCACGGCAACCATCCACTACGGTCAATTAAGTCTCCCATTGAAGACTTCATGAACACAGTTGTTGAATAGTTCTTCCATGGCCTTCCAAGATATGTTTGCACAGAACTCAAGTTCCCAAAGGGTGAAATTCTGCAATTCTGAATTGAAATCCCTGTGTTCATGTTAGGGTCAATCTTCCCTTGTGCTGTGATTGTGTTCTTCTGGCCCAACATAGGTACCTATCAACAGAATCAAGTGATTTTAGAAGCTAACTAAATACAATTCCTCATGTATTGCATGGAATCTGAGAAATGAGCCCTACTATTCATGGCTCATGAATAGTGCAGCTTGTTGTGGACGGAGTTTAAGGGTTTGATTGAATTCGAAATTATGAATGACTACTTTTTTCTTTATGAATTTTCTTTTTACCTTTGGGAGGATGTTGCAGTTTTGAATCACAACGGCAGAATTTCCAAAGATGAAATCAACAGTGCCATAAATGTTGCATTCTCTGTAGAACTGGCGCTGTGCATGAACATAGAGAGTGTCCTGGAATGCATCAATTTGACATCTGTAGTACACAGCCTGATCAGCACTTGTCATCAGTGCCACTGCTTGGTGCTTTTCTGGCCCTGCCGTGTTGCGAAATCCCATGTCCCTTGCCATGAAGTTTCTCCCAAAAACAGCTGAATCACAGAGAGTCACAAGTTCAAATGGCTGGTTAGGTTAGGACATGTTCAAAAACATGTTTGTGAAGAAGACTTGGTATTGTGTGATATCAAGTTCTATATTAAGTAGTGTGGGATGTTTAATATAGTATTTGAGTGAGTTGGTTCTCCCATCCCAAGAGCTAGCTCTTGGGTAGAGTTCTTTGTCCCATTTAGATAACCATTAATTGGTATTAGAACATTGATAGAGACTTGATAGTACGGGATATCAAGTCTCACAATGGGATACTCAATAAAGTATTTAAATGGGCTGATTCTCCATCCCAACATCTAGTTTTTAGGATAGGGTTTTTCATTCCATTTAGATATTCATCAATTGGTATTAAAGCTAAGTTGCCGATAATTCTAATTGGCAAGAGGCCGAGTTAAGTCCTATGGGTAGTTTTTTGTCTCATTTAGATACCCATCACTTTATCAAAGCCAAAACTATGGACCATTTCTTTCATCAATGCGTCTTTAAATTCTCACTAAGTACCAAAACCATGGTTTTCAAAGCATGTTTCCAAACATGCACTTAGTGAGAATTCAAAGACAGTCTGATAAAAAAAAAAAAGATTATTATGAAGATAATTAAGATGTGTAAATACCAAATGTTGCAGATGAAAAAGTCGGCGTGCCATCGACAAAGTTGAGACTACCAGACACAATTGTTCTGGACATTCCATCACCAATCATCATGACGTTCCACTTTTTCTTCTCTACTCTAACATTCTCATAGTAAACTCCTTTCTTCACATAGATCACAGTCCTCTTGTTACTCTTTTCAGGGACATGCTTGAGTGCTTCAGAGATTGTTCTGTACTTTCCAGAGCCATCTTTGGCCACAACAATGTCTGCTTTCTGCTTCACGTCCTTGTCTGATGCAAGAAGCTTTCTGTCTTTCTGATGAAGCCATGCTGGTGCTTCATTGTCATCATCTTGCAGGGTTAATAAGCGTCTTCTTCTCAAGTTTAGCGTGCTTGCAGCTTTGTTAAGCCAAGTGATAATGGCGAGACTGTTGCCGGTAAGCTCTGTAGAGTTCTTTAGGTAGCTTCTGACTCTGCTCTTTAGTGATTCTTTTGCTTCCTCTAAGCCATCTATGCATGTTTGTTGGTATGTTCCTGTGGTAAGATCACACAAGCAAACAAATGATAGTGAGGATGATAGTGTTCTTAATTGTTCATGTCAAGTAACAATCATTGTGATATCTCTAAACATTCATATTTTTTTATTTTGTTGCACACCATATAGCATATATATATATATTTGGTAAAATATAGAATATATTTTTATTCTATTTATAAATCAATTTTAACATATTTTTTTTGGAATTAAAGAATTTTAAAACTCTTTAACTTCATCTCCATTAAGTATACATACTTCAACAGTATATTATTATTTTTTTTTCTAACATTTAATGGAGGATAAAAGGAGAAATTTGTGATGAAAAATTCATGATGTGACTTATAGATAAGATTAAAAAAACCCTTCTCTCTTTGCTCTATAAAGAGGACCCAAGAGAGTATAACCGAGTCAAAATAATATATATATATATATATATAATTTATAAGAAGTCAAATAATTCATAGATTATGAACAATGCAACTCAGTTCTCAACTTTCATAATATATTCTCCCTCTAATTTTTCTTATTATATACTCCTTGTTTTACTCTTCCTTGTGATTGTTAATAATATAGGATGTTGATAACTATTTTATGGTTCTCAAGAAGTTAGTCAAAATCTTAAGGTTTTAAAGAGTTATATATCTTTTCAATTATATCCTCATTAAATATCTTATATAAGTATTTTAATAATGACAATTGAAATTCCAGTGGATCATTTTTTTAAAAGAAATAATAAATGAAGGGTATAATTGAAAAAAAATATATGAACTGCCTATCAATATATGGTTTAAATCAATCAGAACTTATAGAAAATATCCTATATTATGGATTAGAGGGAGTATTTGAATCTTATAAATGGAATAAAAAAGTGCTTCTCTCTCTTTATCATAAAATGACAATTCAGATCAACCCTCCGAATTAAATCAGTAAATCGTTAAACTAATATTTAGACTGATTTAATAAAATATTTGTTTATGATCGAGTTGATCACAATTTGATTATAATTTTAATCATTAAATCTTGAAACAATGCTTTAACTAGTTCAATGATTGTCCCAGTTTTCAATATCCTACCTTGTAAATAAAATTAGACAGTAACCACAAACTAACAACACAAAAAACTGATAAAATTAAAGGAAAGTACCTGAAGCAGTCAACCATGTTTGAAGATCATCAAAAAGCTCAAGAACAGAACTCTGCCCAGAAGACAAAGAATCATTGAGATGATCAACAGCAAGATCCAAAAGCTGCTTGCAATTGTTGAAAGCTTCCATGGTCCTATTATCACCAATCATCATCAAATCCTCAAAAGCTCCTTTTTCACCAGAAAAATACTTATCAGCAGCACCAGCGACTTCATCCAATGCAACCTTTAGGGACATTCTGAACAAATCCTCAGGCTTAATCGCCTGTCCTGATGTTGATTGAACCACACGTCCGAGGCTGTCATAACAAGCATCCTTGTACAATGTCACGTCACACACAGCTTTCACCGAAGCTGAAAGACCGACATTATTATTGCTGCTTCTATTGTTGTCGTCGTGGTCGTCATTGTTGTGAGCAAGAGTTGTTCCTAACACTGCAGCCACAACGACGCCGACCAGGACCACGGCTGACAAGCTCATGATAGCGACTCGCCTCCTGGTTTTCCGGCGAGCTTCGAGCTTTTCCTGCTCGGATTCAACGAGTTTGCCGTAGGGAGACATGGTGGAGATCAAGCTGGTTGATGAGTTGATTATGTATTTGTTGCTGTTGTGAGTTTCAGCAACGAGTTTATATATATATGAGGAAGAGTGGTGACGAGGTTTTACGTGCGAGGCACGAAGTCTTTACATTGCATGCTATACATTAATGAAGTGCGTCCCATGTTATGCATTTATCATTTTTATATGTAATTATGTAATACTGGTTGACAAGCTAATTATGTCTACATCAGACTGAGAAATCTAGCTATGGCAAAAAAAACGTGTCAAGAGGTTCATACTTATTTTTGTAAACTTTATTTATGCTTTGCACTAATTTTTATTTTATTTTGGGATTAAATTTCCCCATTCTAGGTTATAAAAAAAAATATTTTCCCGATCAATAAGAATTATATTATGTTATTATTACCAAAAAACAGAATTATATTATGTTGTTAAAAGTTAAACCTCAAATAATATGGATCAAATAAGATAAATTTGCTATAAAACATGAAAAATTTTCGACAGCCATTTTAATTTTCTGGACTATATCATATTATGATGATGATGATCGAAATTAAAGCCTTGGTCCCTAAACTTTCACTTGTTTTTAAATTAAGTCCCTATATTTCAATTTTTTTTACTCCCTCCTTTACTTTTTATAGGAACCTTTTGATCACGTTATGAAGATTAAGAAGTTAGTTAATTTAGTCCAAAGCAATAAATATGTAAATAGAGGTATTTTTGTTAACAAATAATCATATATGAGGAGGGCAATAACAAATATGTTACATTCACTGATCATTATACTCCCTTGATCCTACTTACAAGATAGAGATAGAATGATCTTCTTTTATTATATTTATAAGGGATGTTAATATTTTATTTTGGAAAAATTTCTCATAAATACTTGACCAGAAATTTAATTGCCCAAAAGTTCCTAGGACATATTTCAAAAAGTAGTACTTAGTTGTCAATAATTGTTCAAGGATAAGTGACATAAATACCTTTATTTCATTTAACATGACATCACACGAGATCCTTCATTGTTAACATCTTAGAAAAATATTTTTAAAATATTCATAATTATCCAAAAGTTCTTAGGACATATTTCACTTTTAATATGTCACAAGAGATCCTTCACTGTCAATATCACATAAATCCTTTATCATCATTATGTCACTCAAAGTCCTTTGCAATCAATAATTTCAGTGCCAGTATGTCTAATAAGGTCCTTCAATATCAATATATCAAACAAGATTCTTTTATAACTCTCTTTAAGAAAATGCAATTGGCTTCCTTATATTCAAATATGTTTTTTTTTTTTTGCATGATCTGATAAAAAAAGTCTTAGTGTCAAATTTTTATATGGAATATAGGTATATTCCCTTATATCAATGCACACTTCCACAGCATGCAAGCTCTTTTCAAAGAAACACAATTGGCTTTTTTATATTCAAATATGTTTTATTCTGGAAAAAAAAAAAAGTCCCGAAGTCAAATTGTTACATGAAATGCGCGTGTGTACTCCCTTACATGAATACCTGCACGACATGCAAGCACTCTTTAAAAAAATACAATTAGTTTTCTTACATTTGAATATATTTTTTGCATATTTTAAAAATACAAATAAATATTCTAAAAAAAGCAAGATTTATATACATAATCTTATATACTTAATATACTTATATAAAATCAAATCATGATATGTGAATCTTAATGTATTAATTTAATTTATAAAAAAATTATTATAAAAAAATAATTCATAAAAGATCCCAATATCTTAATTTAATTGAATACAAATACTTCAATTATATAAGCATAAGTATATAAATTTTTTCCTTCTAAAAACTTCCTCACTCTTTGTAAAAACACCAATATCTGAAAATGAAAATAAATATTCTGAAAAATTCCTCAATTCTCATAAAAACACCAGCAGACATTCTGAAAATACAAATAAATATCCTGAAATTTCATTAGCAGATAATCAAGAATTGAAAGAGAAATAGGAACAATTTGCTTAAACGAGAATGGGATTGGAAGACATAACAGCAGCACTGTAGCATGGTAAAATATTAAAATGTACAAGAATGGAACTGGAAGACATAAACTAACACTAGTGATCCTTCATTTGAAAATTGACATGCATAAATTAATCCTTACAAGCTACTACAATTAAAAATCAATAAAGTGTGAATTCTCATAGTTCTGTAACAAATGAAGAGTTCTCCAGAATAACAAATAGCAGATACACACTTTCTGCTAAATCCTAGGAAGGAGGCAATCGTTCTCATCATTCTCATCAATGATCGTAAACTTGTTTTGCTCAGTTTTTAACATCTTGATCTTGTAGCTTGCTTTTGTCCAAAGAGTGTAGCAATGTCCAAAATATACACAGGACATCCACTTCTGCACAATTTACAGGAGTGGTCCAAAACAATGACCTGCAACATTATTACATTTTATTTTTCAGCCGAGTATGAGAAAAGAAACAGAGAGATTAAAGGACTATCTACATATCTCCATTTAGCACACAATGATCAGAATACATTTGCATAAACAATGTCATATCTTAATAAAGCTAAATTGATGCCAGCAATCTGACACGACAATGCCCAAGATATCACAATGCTTTCAGAGTTTGGAGGCATATCATATGACAAGGAATGGACAAGGAATCCAATTCTGTCCTCCTCACCAAAACGGAGCCTAATTTTCTTTTTGGTGGCATTTTTTGCATGCCTCAGTTCACTTCGCTTCAAGATTTTCACATTCTACAACCACGATGAAGTACAGCAAAAGGTGTAATTCTCTCATTTTTAGATGCTGTTCTCAGTTCACGGAAACACAGTCAAGAGAAAATATGTTACAGAGAAAGCATCAGTGAACAAAGAGGAAGATGGGTTTTCCAGTGTGGTTATTGGTAATAAGAACTAAGCACTTTTGAGTTTTGAAGTATGTCTGAGTAAATGAAATTCAATTTCCTATCAGCTACCACCAAGGTTTCATGGATTCGTGATGAGATGAAATTGAAATAAATGAAGCTTGACCGGAGAACAGGGTACAATGCTACAATAAATTGCACAAACACTATCATAAACAAATAATATCCTCTTTCATACATATACAATCAGAATGGTTTAAAAAAACAGATAATTGCAATAATTCCTTACCTCCAAAGCTATCTCGTTATCATCATACATAAATTTTGGAAGCTTCTTCATGAAATCAGTTTTGTCGGATCCAGATATGGCCTTGCTTATCTGGAAAGTTCAAACAATAGAAGCTATCAAATTCCCTACATTCTCCTTGAAGCCATCAAAAGCAAGCTTTCAAATTGAAACAAACCTTTAGAGAAAGAAGAAGCAAATAACCAGAAAATATATGAACTACACCCAAAAAACAAAACTTTCAAGCTGTGTCCAGCCCTCCTCTAAATTCACGAGAAATTCACTTAGGGTACAACAGAGGAAAAGAATCACTAAGATAGCTCCAGGCCAGAAACAAAAGCATTTACAAATTAGTCAATAAGAGTATACAAAGGGCCATAAATATGCCAAGTATTAATTGTTTGGCTGCTGGTAATCCTGGAAAAGGTGCAGCTTCTAGCGCTCATTGCTGGTCATTCAAGAAAAGGCTTAGAGCCTATCAAAACCTACATTTATATAAGCTTTGAGCCTATTTAAAGCCTACATGATGTTCAAATTAAATTAAATTAAAATTTATAATAAATCTAAAAAAACATTATTCAAATAAATCCAAACTATTGCAACAATGCAATACAACAATTCATCATAAATTCGCAAGTTAGAGATGGCAGCTATTGAGTAGTGTACAGAAAACCGAGCAAAAGAGAGAACTTAAGGACCAAAACGGTGCACCCTGGCATGCTGCCAACAAAGGTAATATTCTGATTCTGAACAAAATAATGGATGACCAGATGTATTCACACTCCAGATGGAATTAACAGTCTCATTCAGAAGTTCATTCACTTAAATGTATTCTCAAATCCCTTCAGCTTTTATATACCACTTCATCACTAATATGAGAATGGCAAATGGAAATGTCATTTATTTTTAATACAAAATCACAATTAGAAATGCCAGACCAAATAAAAGACACATTGTACAGAAAACTGCACAAAATGAACAAAAATAGTTTTCAGATTTGACCGGGAAAAACAATTATCACACCTTGATGGTCACAATAAGAGCAGTTAAACATCCAAATAAGATAGACAAATTAAAGAATACTAAATCCTATTTCTTCACACTGAAAATCATGTCACTTGACATTTTCAAATCAATATCCATTTGAAAGACAAGCTATACCAATCTAAAATTCTAAATAACAGTCCTGATCTGGATGATAGTTTCAATTCGCACAACAAGAAGAAATATTATCCCACTAGGTGTTATAGTTTCAATCTATAATGCCACTGCCACAAATTCAATTAAGTGAATGGAGCATATTTACTACATTATCTGCCATAGGCATCAGTACAAGCACATAAATTAATTAATCATTACATATATTGCATAGAATATAACAGTTCAAAGGAACATACCAAAAAATTCAGACCATATTCACTTCGAAATTGAAGAGATCAGGAAGCCTAGGCTTCAAAATAGTGCACTTGGAGTACAGTTAAGCTGGTAGTTTACAAGTACTGCTCCAAATATTTTAAACTTGAAAAAACATGCTTGGCCTGTTCAGGGAGACTACATAAATGCTGCTAAATAGGCTTTTGGCCTCCTGTTTATAAATAGGCCCCAACCAGGCTAGGCCATAGGCTGCTTGATAGGAGCCTTACCTACTTCAATCTCTAGTCTCCACTCTCAACATCTTCAAAGGACACAACTAGACCATGGGTCTGAAAACTATGCTTCTCTTTATTTATATAAACATTTTAGTACACAAAATTAACTAAAATGAAACAAATTTGCTAACTATTACAATAAATTTCATTGCCAACATGAATGTCAACTATCAACAGTTAAATAGATATGGAGAAAACTATCTAACCTTCTTTTATCGCCATAGGAGACCTTTGGTGAACATTTAATCCAAAAGATCCTTGGCCTTATCATTCTCACCCTTTTTCAAAAGAGGTCTAATAATTGTATAAAATGTTACAAGATCAGGTGAACATCCATTATCTTTCATTTTATAAAGCAACGCCTTTGCCTCATCAAACAAACCCTCTTTGCAAAGCCCGTTGATCATTGCAGTATATGCCTGGACACTCAAAGGATGGCCATTGGCCAAAAGATACTGAAAAATCTGTCGTGCATCATTTAAGCTAGTACCTTTGCATAGACCAATAAGTAGTATAGTATATGTGCATGCATCAGGCTGAATTCCACGATCAACAATTCACTTAAATAAGGCAATTGCTTGATCTAAATGATGACTTTTACACAAGCCATCTAACAAGGTATTATAAAATATTATACCGGGAGTATGACCGATAGCATGCATCTCATAAATAATATCCTACACATATGACATTTTACTTGATTTGTACAAACCGTCAACAAGAGAATTATAGGTGACCATATCGGGAAGCAAATTTTTGCTCTTCATTTCTTTAAAGAGATCCAAGGCATCATCCACCATCTTGATTTTACAGAGTCCATTAATCAAAATACTGTAACTAAAAATATCAGGAGCCAAACTACTCTTGACCATCTTATTGAACAATTCTCTTGACTCCCCAACATGATTGATCAAACAATACCCATCCATTAAAGTGTTGAAAGTAACTACATTGGGTTTTACACCGTGCTTCATCATCATGCCAATCACAGCTTCAGCCCTAGTGACACGTCCTTGCTTACAAAATGCATTGACCAAGATATCAAAAGTATGGACATCTGGGTTGATGCCTTCAATTTTCATTTGATTAAAAATTTTTGCTGCTTCTGCCCATTTGTCCATCAAACAAAAGCCATGTATCAAAGAATTGTAGGTCACAACATTGGGAGATATTCCATGACGACACATTTCATGAAATAAATCAATGGCTTCGGTTATGAGTCCTTCCTTGCAAAAACCATCAATAACTGTACTATACATGACTAAACCAGGTTCAACCAACCCTCTGGCCATCTTTTTGAGCAATTTGATGGCAGTTAATGTTTTTCCTGATTTACATAGACCGTTGATAAGGGTGCCGTAACTAACTTCATCTAAGTGAAACCCTTTTGCTATCACATTATCATGGAAATCTAAGGCCTTCCCAACATCATTGTCGATGCAAAGGCCATTCATCAGAGTATTCAAAATTATCGTATTTGGCTGACAGCCCATCTTAAGAATCTTCCCTAAGGTAGAGAACGCGAAATTCATTAGACCCACATGGCAGTAACAATTTATCAAGACGCTAAGAGTAACGAAAGAAGGCGTGAATCCCTTAGATTCTGCGAGTTCATAAAGGGAGATAGCAGTAGGATAGTGTTTCATCCGTGCAAGAGATCCTAAAATCTTAGTAATTTGGACTATAGAGGGTGGGGGATGCCCATGAAGCAAGGTGTGGAAAGAAGAGACAGCCTCTTCGATGCTATGAGGATTACTCGAATTGGAATGGAAGAAGTGGAGAGTTAGAGCACATGAGTCAGAAAAAACGGATGAGGATAGAGACGATGCAGAGAAGAGACAAACTTTGGGGAAGGCATACCTTGAAGCTCTCCAAAACATCATCTTTACCTTTCAGATCCTTCGCCAAAACACTCGTGCTGCTACCGGGAGATGCGGAGCTCGACGAGAAGAGACAACAAAAGTAGTCTGAGGAATCACCGCTTGCTAAAATCGGAATATTAATCCATTAACCAATTAGATATAATTATTTCTGTAAACCACTTCAAATTTATGGTTATACCTTAATATAATTCAAGGTTAATATTTTTTTTAAAAAAAATGAAATCTCAATCATTCAAATTTTACTCCCAATCATAGAAATCGTTTTTTAATCCTGTTACTACTTTTGGCTTGAATTTCTTAAAAAATGAAAATATAATATTATCATCGAAGAACTAGGATAATGGTTTTATCTTGGTTTTTTAAAGTAAAAGAGGTTTTCGAATATTTTAAATGAGAAATGTAAAATTAAAAAAGTATAAACTTATGCCCCATTTGACTCAAAAAATTAAAAGGAATATAATGTAATATAATGCTAAAGAATGAAATGTAATGTAACAAGAATTACATATGTTTGTTTGGTATGTTATATGAGGAGGGATATTTTGATATAAATTATGGTTGTAATGAAGATTACATATGTTTATTGATGTAATTCTCTTTACAATGTATGATATAATTCCCTTTACATGATGTAATTTCTTTTACTTTGTCTAGTACCAATCAAACAACTGAAATCATATAATACATTAGGATTATAGCATTACACTGCATCGAACCAAATGGCCTATTAGTCTTCATCAATTGGAGGATTTTAAAGAATTTTTTCTTTTAACAAACTTGGGAGAAAGATCCTCTAGTGAATATGTTTTGGTGTGATATTCAGATGCTGTTAAACTTCTTTAAATTTCAATTTTCATTGGATGGAGTGCTTGCCAAACCAGTGAAGGGATTGGTGGAATCATATTAGTTGTTCTTCTATTTACTATAAATTTTCTCTTTGTAAACTAATTTATGTTGGCCAAAACTCTTTGTAAACTAATTGCAATTAAAAAATATATTAGGATATGTTATCTTAATGTATTTTAGATTTCAATACGTTAAGATAAATTTTTTTAAAAAATAAGTTGTAATATTAATTTAAATAATTATAAATTCAAAAAATTTAATTGTAAATCAGACATTTAAATTTTAAATATAACTCCTAAATTATAATTGAGATTTTTATTTATAATATTCTGCATCAATATTTAAAAATTTGTAATGAGCAGTGAATCTAGGAATTAAAAAAATTGATAAATAATTTATTTCTTTATTTATTTATTTTTATTTTAGCATTAAAAGAAAAGTTGGTGCAACATAGGAATATATATATATATATATATATTTATGTTACAGGAAATTTAAATTTTTAATTCAGATCCCATTATATTTAGGAGGGAGAAAAAATAATATATATATATATATAATTAAAAAAATTCTAAAATATCCCACCAAAGATTTATTATAATAATACACTCTTTCCAAATTTCCTTTTCATTACCGTCAATACCAATGGGGAGAGAGAGTTCGAGAATCTTCACTGCTTCACTCTTTCTCTTTCGATATTTCTTCCGCATATCATCGGCTGATGGGAGGGAGTGAATTTTTTCCCTTGCTGTCATGGTGGATGTTGAAGCTGTCATAATCTTCTTTCTCCGTTCAACCTGGCATTGACAACGGTCTTCCTCTTCCTTCCTTAGTCCTGCGTTGCTGTTAGCCTGGTGTGAGTGAGGTTGCTTTGATTCTTCTCGCTTCTCGTTGCCATCCATTTGTTGTTACAGATTGCTGCTTAGCTTGCGATTTTTTTTTTCTTCCCCTATTGCATCGCCTCTGTCTTGTGTGGATATTGAGAGCTTCATGTGTGTTTATCATTTTTGGCCCCTCATTTCTAGTCTGCTTGTTGTGGTGTATGAAAGATTTAGATTTATTATTAGATTTAAATTTAATTTTGGTAAAGAATGAATTTGGGAAACATAGTAAATTTAAATGTTGATGATTGAAAAGTTATGGAAAAAGAGATTTAAAGAGTAAGATGATTGTTATATATTTAGATCTTTGAATGCACATGAGATATTTAATAAAATATTTGATAAAAATATTTTAATCTATAATAATTAATAAAGGTGATGAATGTATTATTGTTATTGGCTAAATTATTATAGTAGAGAATTACCCTCTATAAGGGAAGGTTGGAAATAGAGTTAAGGAAATTTTGTTATTTGGTTGATAATTTTATATTTGAGTTTGGGTGTTCATATATTGGCATTTGGCTGCATATTAAGTGTTCAATGAAATGTTTGAAAAGAGAAGATTATGAATAGAAGATAAAATTAGATAAGCTTTTATTATGCATGTCCAAAATTTAGATACAAGCCCTTGGAATTTGTCAGACTTTTTACAAGGTGTCCTTACATACTAAAACTTGTTATGATTCTTGATTGATAATTTTGGATTTACAACATGTATGAAATAAATAAATGATATTATTTTGAGATTGACAAATTGAGAGTTGAAATTGAGATTTTTGCAAGTATTTCTATAATGATAAAAATCTTTTTTATTTTTGAAAGAAATCTTCTACAAGCATATAAAAAATCTATGGAAGAAAGTTTGAAAAAAATGGCTTATGGACAGTGTTTGGATTCTTTTACAATAATTTTTTTTTACATATTGAAAAAAATTGATTTTTGACATACTCGGGTGATTTTTGACATACTCGGGAGAGGAACCAAACACAACACGCCTATTATTCATGGCCTTCATGTTGCGCTTGTTATTCGTGGCCTTTTGTGCTACGCTTGATAGTTGATATTCATGGCCTTTCATGCCGCGCCTGCTATTCGTGACATTTATGTTGTGCCTAATATTCGTGGCTTTAACTTATGTCAAATTTGTTACTTATCTTCGTGGATTGTGTGTCCACGCTTGCTTCTCATGGTCTATGAGCCACGCCTGTAACATTTAAAAAAGTATCCCCTTGATTAATTAAGCTAATAAAGGGTAAATTTATATAAATATAAATGGATTTAAAAATAGTTAGAGACAACTATTAGGTTTAATTTTATCTTTTAGATTAGATTTGAAAGTGAATTGATTCGCTTGAGCTCAAATTGAAGAGAAAAGAAATTAGATTTTTGGCTTAGTGCATTATACTACAGCATAAAAAATTACGTTGCAGTATAAATTGCAGAATCAACTTTTTTAAAAATGTGAAAAGAGAGTTGTTCCTCTGCTAGGGTATCAACTCTTAAGCATTTTGAAGGTGATTAGAGCTTAATTTCACCTAGGAATGTCTTCCTTATCTCTTCTTTTCTCTACACGTTTTGGAAGTGAAATTTGAAGTTGGAAGATAATAATTTTTGAATCTAAGGCTATGGGTCTAAATTCATTGGTTTAAATGGAACTAATAAGAATTGTTTAAGTTATTTAAGCCTAGCTATAGTGGTTTTATACATCCATGAGAGTGATCTCTCAATTATAGACAAAATTATGACCTAAAGTGTTATAAATGGTGGTGTTTAAGGTAGATTATTGCCATTGATGTTAATTAAGGATTGTGTTAGTGTTAGGTGGAGTTAATGAGAGCTAATAAACCTAATGTAGTGATTAAACTCAATAGTTGAGAGCTTTGGGTTATTACTCTCGTATGGCACAACAACATTAAACCTTTATTTTCTTCTCCTTTTGATGTTTGGGTGGCCTAACTTGATATCGGACCTACAATTTGAGCTGAAATACAATAGAATATGATTATTAAACTTCCCTGGCCATACACTACTATAATTTAATCAATTTTTCTAATTGAGTTTAAGAATTTAGGAAATTAAAAATCGAGATGTTATAGTAACCTGCTTGGGTTATTCACATGATTACCATAGAGGTTTTGACTAAGTGTTAGAGTAATAAGGATGACCTTGGACAAAGAGATGACTAATTCTCACACAATATCACTTAATTATTTTAAAGAGAGAAAATTGATATGTGAAATTAACAGTCACATTGGCACTAGGTTGCCTGTGCTTTTATATTCAACTCTTTCCAAATAGGATTGAGCCTAGTTCCCTTTCCAAATGTTTAATTTACTCAAGTAATTCATATATTAATTACTAAATTAACATTTAGTTTGATTTACAAAACGCTAATTTCTTTCATCATAAAATCCCCACCTACAGTAGCAATATATATGTATATGCATATACATGCTATTGAAGATTATGAAAGTCATAAAACTCTGCCTGGAATCAAATTTTAAACGTACACTTTAAGAAGAAGAAACTATAAGGAAATGAAATTTTCATTTAGTATGTGAACTTCCTCTACATGTTCAAGTCTATTGTTTTGATGCAATCCTAAAAAATGGGCCAGATAAAAATTCATCAAATGCCCTTGTTTACAACCATGATTTATTATCATTTTTCATTTTGTAGCATAATTTTAGCTTAATTTGATGGATAAATTAGTAAACTTGCACTTGATCATTAATATATATTTTTCTCCTCTAATATGAAGGATCAAATGCTGATAAAATACTAAAATTCATGTTTATTTGATTAAGAAGGGTTACAATTTAAACATAACAACAAAGCATGCATGGAGATGGAACTCTCAACATATCATATGAACAACATTTTTCTAAGTATAAAACAGTAGTTACTTTAATGAGTGTTGATGCTGCTGACTAAGCTACCAATCTTGGATCTCAAAGAAATGTAGCTCTCAATAAACCTCAACTTATTCCACTTAGTTTCCTCCACTTCCACAATGCTTGACAATGAATCTTTGAGAGTTAGATCAGCTAGAGGAGGTGGTGATGAAGTCATCCAACTGGTTGGTTCCAACTCCAATGAAGCCATAGTAGCTCTCCAATAGGTAGCACAGTCCTCATTCTCAGGAATGAGAGAGAAAGAGACAAAGTTCAAAGATTCAATATTAGCAAACATGTCTTGTAGCATACTTTGGCAGACCTGATTACTAGAATGAAGGTCTCTCTTAGTTAGAGCATTAAGAGAAACCAGTAATCAATTTCAATTATCACGGTTGACGATGTGAATTTTTTAGCTAACTCCAAAGCCTTACTCACAATAAAGGTGACAAAATGTATGATT